ACTCCAGTTTGGGCGCCAGTGAGACTCCAACTCAAAAAAAAAAAAAAAAAAAAAAAAAGTTGTCTGGTGAGGTTATTCAAAGGTTTTTAAAAAAAAATTTGAGTCAGGGTCTATGTTGTCCAGGCTAGAGCACAGTGGTACGACCACTGCTCACCACAGCCTCGACCTCCTGGGCGCAGGTGACCCCTCCACTTCAGCCTCCCAAGTAGCTGGGATTAAAGGTGTGCGCCATCATGCCTGGCTAATTTTTTAATTTTTTGAAGATAACAAGGTTTTGTTGCGTTGTCCAGGCTGGTCTTGAACTCTTGGGTTCAAGCAATCCTCCCACCTCAGCCTCCGAAAGTGCTGGGATTACAGGCATGTACCACTGCACCTGACCTGTTTTCCTATTAACATGTCTTTTTGTATTAAATATTTTACTATGAAAAGTGACAAAAAATAAACTCAGAAAATAACATGTAACTTAGTTTATTTTCTTACCTTCATATAAGGCTGCAGCTGAGCTCTCTAGGCAGGTCTTGCTATTTACAAAAGCTAACATTAGAATATTGATGTTATATATCATAAAAAATATATTTATGTATAGGTCAATGGGGTTAATTTTGTTTAAAAATTCATGTTTTGCCTTATAATTACCATATACTTCAACTGTCCTTCCCCAATCTACCTCTTAAACAAATGATATGATATCCTGCCCTGCTGGTAGAGGCAATAGGGCACTGAGGTTAAGATGGTAAAGTTGGCCAGTAGCAAAAATGTCATACAGAAGGCAGAATAGGAAGATTATGGTTTCTGCAACAACAATGTAGACAATCATTTTATTTAATTTCTTCTGAAAATGTATAACACTTGATATTCAGTAGGCAAAAGGATGTAAAGGAAACTGCCTCATGTATGGTAAGGACTCAACTTGCTTGAGGTATTAAATAAAAAAGGAAATGACAGCAAATTCCTTGGTAACAGAAGTGGTATTACAGACCAGAAGTCTGTATGGCAATTAGGTAAAAAAAATTATAATGTGAGCAGTTTTGAAAAATAATTTTATCTTTTAGACACTTTTAAAAGGTATGCCTTCCCAACAGCTGTATAATTCTAAAGAACCTACAAAATTAGTCCCTTAAAAACAATTTAGGCCAGGTGCAGTGACTCACGGCTATAATCCCAGCACTTTGGGAGGCCTGTGCTCAGGATTGCCTGAGCCCAGGGGTTCAAGACCAGCCTGGGCAACATGGTGAGACTTCATCTCTACAATAAATCAAAAAATTATCTAGGCGTGGTGGTACATGCCTGTAGTTCCAGCTACTTGGAAGGCTGAGGCAAAAGGATCCCCTGAGCTCAGCAGGTTGAGGCAGCAGTGGCTGTGAGTGTGATATTGCACTCTAGCCTGGACGACAGAGTGAGACTCCAACTCAAAAACAACAAAACCAAAAAACAACAACAACAAAATTTAAAGCAGAAAACACATTTGGAAGTACTCTTAATAAGATGTTAAATACATAGAAATGAGTCATTTTATGTTTCTTGAATTGGGTCCTTTGAAGAATCGAAGTGCTTGGAATATAGAATGGAATATAGAACTTTTTTTAAGAATGATCTTCAAAATGGGCTACAATTTAATCCATGGTTTATGGGGGAAGGCTGCTGTAATAGACAAAAATGCTAACAGGAAAAAAAATTAATCATTCTATGTAATCTGCAACTGTTTCAAACATTTTGGTACTTTTATCATAGTGCCAGTAGGTCTCTAAATTTTTGGAAAATTTGGGGGGAACTTTTGGTTAACATAATGATAGGGGGCACTACTGGATGGCCTCCGATCCCTGGGATAGTTATGCACAACCAAGATTGTTACATGGATTTAAAAAATATATATGTTTAAACATACATAATGAAGAGAGGTCCTGAATTCTTTCTTTTTTTTTTTTTTTGAGTTGGAGTCTCACTCTGTCGCCCAGACTGGAGTGCAGTGGCCGCTCCCGGTCACCGCAGTCTCGACCTGCTGGGCTCCGGCGATCCTTCCGCCTCAGCCTTCCGAGTAGCAGGAATTACAGGCGCACGCTACCACACCCGGCTGTTTTTGATTTATTGTAGAGATGAAGTCTTGCCTGCCCAGGCGGGTCTCGAACCCCGTGGGCTCAGGCAATCCACTCACCTCAGTTTCCCAAAGGCACGGGATTATAGGCTGAGCCATGGAGCCTGGCTTTTTTTTTTTTTAAGTTGGAGTCTCAGTTGCCCAGACTGGAGTG